AAATTGTATAATATCAAAATAGAATATAATATTAGCAAGAGTATGTGGATCAGTTGTTTTAATAAAGGTGCTTTGAAGAGCATTTTAAGGCTAGAGTTAATGTTATCCTTTTTAGAAGCAGCTATTAAATAGTGTTTTAGATAAGAATAGTAGAAAAATGATTCATGTTTTAAATTTGTAGAAGTATTATTGAGTTATATAAATTGTTGTTCAGCTGAGTTAGCTAATTTTTTAAGAGGCTCAAATGGAAAGGGTTTTGAAAAAGTAGCAATAAAAGGTTGGTTTGGTTGAAAGATAGCAAAATTTAAGTAAGGATAGATATAGGTTTTGAATGAGTTATGAAAGTAAAATGAAGTTAGATTTTTGAAAGTATGAGAAGTGTCATTAGAAAGAATATTGCATATGTTATATGTACAAGTATAAATATGGTAAAATGATACTTTAATTGAAGCTTTTCATCAAAAAATTTTATAGACAGATATATATCGATTACTAATCAATGCAGATATATATCGATACTAATCACCCCTGCTGATTTCTATCAATTGTGATTACAATCGATATGTTGCGGATTTGTTAGTAATCGATATATATTCACTTTGGCTAGTAATCGATATATATCCACTTTGGCTAGTAATTGATATATATTCAAGTTAGCTATATATCAAATATAATCTATATAAATCGAATTTAATCAATATAAATTGAATCTTATCAATATAAATCGAGTTTAATTGATATAAATTGATAGTTCTGCTAAGTAGGAATCGATTTATGTCTAACTATTGATAACTATTAATATAAATCCAATTTAATCGATAATAATCATTTTATATCTTATATAATTTTTTAATTGTCAATTACAAAACTTTTATTCAATAATTTTTAAATGAAAACCGTTAAACTTTTATTAAAACAATTTTAAAATTTATTACATTTTAAAGCATAAGCAATACAAATAGAACATAAAAAAAATAATACATTAAAAACACTAATACATTTTTTAAAAAAATGAAAAAGAAAAAAATTTTTGCATGGCGCCGAATTACAATGACATTAATAGGCCCCAAATAAGTCATTCTGCTCTTCTTGTGAAAGCAACCCCGAAGAAACTCGAAAAACAGACTCACGATCAGGCATAGCTTGTCTTGCTTGTTTACCATCGAGAGGACGCACTGCAAGTTCATTATTTATTATTAATTCTGCAGAATGATAACTAGGACTACCCTGCTCGAAATTACTCTATTTAAATAGAATAGAATAAATAATAAATATTAATGCCACTTTTGTAATAAAACGATTACTTACTAATACCTTCCAAATATTTATTAATATAACACAAAATGCGGTCTTCTTTACATAAAACATTTTTTGATCACAGGTTTAAAAGAATATCGCATACTGCCAGTGTGAATACACAATGATAATTGGTCAAATCTAGGATGGCGGCCATGCTGAAAGCTGTTCTTGCAATTATACTAATCCAAAGAAGGCCTTTGTCATTTTGCTCAAAAAGAGCTCGATAACTATCCTGAACTTGTGGGCTTTTTTTCTACATGACTATATCAGCAGGGCTGCGTTGTCTTTAAGCAGTAGTAGCTTCTCATAGCCAAAAATCTTCCAAATAGCAGAGCGAACATTTTGTAGTGCTGAATCTCGATGGTTCTTCATTTTTTGCAAAAGCTGTTAAAAGATAATTAAATAATTAATTAAAATTAATGATTAAAATACAAATATATAAATAATTAAAGTTATAATGATTAAAATACAAATATGTAAATGATTAATAATGATTAATAACAATTAATAATGATTAAAATACAAATATGAGAAATTATAATGATTAAATAAAAATTATATATCAGACTGCACCATCCACTATGAAATCTATTAGTGAATTCATTTTCACTAATGCTTGACATAAATTTAGAAAAGTTGTCAGTCAGGTACTTCCTGAGGATTTCTTTTAATATGATTTGAGTAGGATAGACATGCTGAGGAAAAAGATATTTTACAATGCCCATAAATATATCCTACACAAAATTTTAACATATAATTTTAATATATATTCCACATACTCTATATTATACATCACCCTGGTTATATCGACTCTTTAAAAAAAAAAATAAAAAAATATCATATATCAAAATATCGGTTTAAGCTAAGGTATTCTCATATTAAGTATAAAGGTTTCAAAATATCATTTTAATTCCTGTACATCCAGATTTCGGTATAACCAGAGTGGTGTTTGTTGGCAGAAAACTTATGTTCAGCACTTTTGGGAAGAGATCGCTTTTTTGGTCTACCTTTCTATATCGTATTTCATCCTTAACTTCTCGAACATCTTTGCTTAGTTTTTTGATAAAAAGGTAGAGTTGCCAGTTTTGCATAAACAATCATTTTTATATTTGTTGACAGAAACCAGAACACACTTAAAGTTTCATTAAAATAAAAAAAAAAATCAAAAAAAAAAAATTAAAGTTCTGACATCTGGAAAAATCAAAAAAAAAAACTATCGATTTATATACCATGATCATGATGATCATCACATGATTTGGTCTGATCATTATGTGGTTGATTATTCTGTGGTTGACTCTGATTGGGGGTTTGATGATCATTGTTACGTAACCTTGCTCGTGATTTGGCCCGTGACCCTTCTAGTTGGGGTGATAATAATCGATTTCGTTCGCTAGAAGGCGATGAATGATGTGAATGATGTAAATGATTTTCATTGTAAAAAGATGATGGTTGTTGAGAGTGTTGTGAAAGAGATGATTGTCAGGATTGGGTGGCATGATGTGATTGAGATGTTGGTTAGGATTGGGTTGCTTGATGTGATTGAGAATGGTGTGAGAGAGATGTTTGTCGAGTTTGGGTTGCTTAATGTGATTAATTTTGGTTACTTCCTTGTCTACTTATTCTTGCAAATATTTCTTGTGTACTTGCAATACTTTTAAATGATGAATCTGAATCATAACCATCATCATTAAAGTATTACGTAGTTGGTGTGGGTCAGTAATATTTTGAGATAGTTGATGTGAGGCAGCAATATTTTAAGTTGAATGGATGGAAAATGATCGGGATCGAGTTGTATTGATATATATAGCAGGATAAGGAAAAAGTAAGTTGTCAGTTAAATTGTTGATAGGAGGTAAGTTAATAACAGGAGATAAGTAGTTGAAAGGAAGTAGATTATTGAAAGGAGATAAATTATTGATAGGAGGTAAATTGTTGAAAAGAGGTAAGTTGTTAGTAGAAGTGTTGCTGATAGAAAAATTATTAGAAGTGTTGCCGATAGAAGAATTATTCGATATGTTTCCATTAGGAGAATTATTCAAAGTATTGCTGTTATTAAAATTGTTATTAGAAGTGTTATTAGAAGTGTTATTCAAAGTGGTATTAGAAGTAGTATTCGAAGTATTATTAGAAGCATTATTAAGAAGGTTATTCATTTCAAAAAATTCCAAAAAATATTTTACCTTTTCAAATGAAAGAGAAATATATTTATATATGTATCTAAGAATTAATAATTTTAATATAATAATATTATTCATTATATAGAAAAAAAACAAATATATACTTATCTACATAAGTATAATCAATTTTTATCTAAAATTAAATATATAAGAATTAATATATGATGAGGTTAGTCATTATATTACAATCTATTATATTTAAAAGTAAGAATTAATATATGATATATGATGATGTTAGTCATTATATAGAACAAAAACAGATGTATACTTATTTGTATTTTTTAAATATGTATAATTATGATCTATTATATTTAAAATTAAATATATAGTAAGAATTAATATATGATATATGATAATGCTAGTCGTTATATATATAAAAAAATCGAATATATACTTATTTATAATTTTTTATATATGTATAATCATTATTATGATCTATTATTTAAATTTACAAATATAGTAAAAATTAATATACAATATACGATGATATTAGTCGTTATATAAAAAAAATTGAATATATTCTTATTTTTATTTTTTGTCTACATACGTATAAAATCTATTGTATCTAAAGTCACATAATAAAATTAATAAATAACCATGACTTATATTGTAAAAATAAATGAGCAAAAGTATACTTATCTCATTTGTTTGGTATTTTACGTATAATGACAATTTACTATCATTATACGTGAAATAATGATTTCTGAGTTTATCTTATTGATAATTTCAGATTTAGAACGTATTTAAATAATATTGGATATAATATATTGCTAGTTTTTAATTAGTATATTACATCATATAAAAAATTATTATTCTTTGTTTTGATCAAAGAGTAAGAATCATTTAAAATCGATATAAATTATTTAATATCAAAATAAATCAAAAAGTCACATACTATCTAAATCATTGCTTTTTGCTAGATTCTTTAGCTATTGCTTAAAATCATTATAAATTATTAAAAATCAATATAAATCAATTAAATCGCATAACTATCTTTTAAATAATTGCTTCTTGATACATTCTTTAGTTTTCTTTATTACTTTTTATCTTTTTTATTTTTATCTCTTTAAATCTGAAGCTACATTTAATTTCTTTTTCATTATTTTTCATTATTTATTAATAATATCTTTTCTATTTATTGTTTTTTTATAAACTCTTATTTATTTATTCTCTTATTATTCTTTTTTTTTAAAAATGCATTGGCAATGTGAGCATTGTAATCAGGAATTTTCAAAATCCTATACCTTAATACAACATATTTCGCAAAGGCATCCTTATCTTCAAGATACAACA